ATTACGAGGTGTTCCTCCAGTTCTGTTTTCAGTTGTGTCTTCTCCTCCTCAACTTCTCCAACACGCCTCTCAGATTCACTTAGTCGTTTTCGCAGTAAAGTCAACTCCGCAGCTAGAATGAAACCAATAGAGTTTCACCCGTGAAATGAAAAACACTGGTGAAAAACATATTTCATGACTATTGCAAGGCGCAAATACCGCGTTTTTCACGGAGTTTTACGCCACTTCACGTAAAACGGGTAAAACTCTATCGGTGAAATGGAAAACATCAGCGAGGAACATATTGTACGACTGTTGCATAGCGTAAATATCCACTTCACGTAAAACGGGTGAAACTCCAATGTTTTAAACAACTGAATGAAGTTTCACCCGTGATGCGAGAAACATATTTCACGATTACTGCATAGTGCGAATATCGCGTTTTTCACAGAGTTTCACGCTACCTCACGTGAAACGGGTGAAACACCAATATTCTCATCCTACACAGTGTGTTCTCCAACAACTCTAATTCATTCTTCGCAGACCCTCTTGCGCCCTCTGCTGTCCGCATTTGTTCCTCCATTTTCACTCGCTCTCCCACGAGTTTGATTATCTGCTCAACAACGTCTTGATTCTGGCAAGCCATATTGCAACAGACGTTCTCGTTTCTTACAGGAGTTTACACGCTAATTCGGGTAGAAGTGTATCGAATTTTATGAGAACTTCCCAAAATTTTCAACACATATACATATTTTCCCACACTGCGGGTGAGTTTCACGGACGCAGATGAATTTTCCGCCTACACACCTTCAAGGAAAGCTCCTCGTTTCTCGCTCTTTCCTTAATAAGCCTTTCCTCGGCCAACTTCGACTCGTTTTTTTGCATGTTTACGATTTGTATATTCTCCGTTTTCTCTCCCCGAAGGCTCTCAACCATATTTTGCGTATTCTTCAACGACGCCTCGTTTTCCTCCAACTGTTTTTCAACTTTACTGAGCTCCTGAATTCAAGAGCGCGTTTCTTATGTCAAGGGCTCGACAGCCTTGAATTGATACGTGTCTACTGCCCCAATCGTACCGTAAACTAACGTTGCAACACCTTTCACAGCGACGATAGAGAGCTAACAACGCGGGCGTTCGCTATTGAAACTGCCGCTAAGATGGATTAGAAATCAAGCCAGATGAAAATTGTGAGTGTGGGAAAGTATTTCAAGCCCCCGATACGGCGCACCATCCTTATATATTGACTATATCTGTATAGTCAACATCTACGACATCGAGCGCGCGCTTTTTGCAAATTGCGTTCGTTTTCTGAGACGGGCGATGAATAACATATACAGTATCAATATAATATATATTGGCATTTTCTGATTCAGTGAATACTACAGAGCCCGAAGGAGTTTCACCAGTGATATAAATATATTTCACGACTGCTCCTTTCCACAGAGAATAATGCCACTTCGCGTAAACGGGTGAAACTCCAATGATATAGGTATAGAAGTATCACAAATTTAGACACCCTTTCTTCCTCAGATGCTACCGTGATCTCATATGAGCTTCAGGTCAAACACGTGGAGTCTCCGTAGCCTACTTGTTTCAGCTGATCTATATCGTTGCGCAAGGCTAGCTCCATTCGATTTTTCTCTTCTTGTAAATCTAATATCTCGCCCTTCGCGTTGATCAGAGCTTCCCCGGCCTACCAAAGCCACTGTTGGTATATATGGCCGTTTTATTCGGCTTGGCTACCTCAGAAGTTTTCTTACTAACTGTAGGAATTTGCTTTGAAGTATACAGAAACCAATGAGAGTTTCCCTGGGATTTTTCATCCTCACAATACATGTAGACATAGGCGTTTGTGAATTCGCCAGCAACGTAATTTCTAGTCGTTTTTTAATAAATCTGCATTCGCGCGGAAGTGTTGATCAGCACTTAGTGCATTTACTTCGACACGTTGTTCTTCGATTTCCACTTGAGCTTCACGGCATTTTATATTCTCATCTATGAGAGCGGCTACTTTCCTTTTCTCACCCTCAAGCTGAGTCATTAGCCTCACTCGCTGATCGACCACCTAAGCCGTGCAATGCGCTCATACGACGACTCAGTTATGCCGACTTTCGCTGTTTCTATTTTCTCTTCTACCAACTTGTTTTCCATGTCTGTTAACTGTTGTTGCATCATCAGTGATTCCTGGTTTTCTGTCTCCTCTATTGCGCACAATATTCATTATTATCAACAGGAGATTCCCCCACCCTTTAAATCTTCTTCTCTCCTGCTCATGGTCGTAGCTTCCGTCTGCAATAGCAGTAGTCGTCTCTGCGTTATGGCAAATGAGCACACGCGTGCATCTTGGACCAGCGGACTACATTGCACCTAGTGTACACGTCCGCGTGGTATTTGATCAATCTCTCACTCACTTCGCCCAGTTTTTTTGTGAGCTCCAAAACTCTCTGAACCTCAACTGAGCTTTCTACTGGCAATACCGCAGTTACCTTTATAGATAAATAAAATATGCACATGGTCAACGACATACGTAAGTGACATTTGTAGAAATTCTGAGCAAATTCTCATTGGTTTCTGTACACTTCGAAATTCGTTTAGTGAAGAAACTTCTGGCACCAGCTCAGAACCTCCAACACTAATTATCCGAGCCTACGTGTAACAAGGCGTTGCCGTAGACCAACGGTCCCATTAACATCAAGGTGAGTACACTGCTGCGGGAGACTTCCAGTGGAGGTCTATGAATGGTCCATTTCAAGGCAGCGTCCTGATGGGCACTTCACGATGTATGCGAGGAGTGGTATACCCAGAGAGCGTATTGGGATTTGAACGTTGCGAATCCTCGCATCCCACCAAGCACATCTCGATCTTGTGCCAGACAGTCCGAGCTTCCTGTCTTGATCATCAGCAGCCGACTGAGAGCGTCATATCGTGTATTTCGCGGTGATGAATAAAAGCTAGCGTCATTCAAGTGGATGCGTCGAGTAGATCAGCATGGATGCGCTAACTAGGAGTGTTATATATAATTATATTAACTATGATTAGAATATCAAGATATAATTTGTATAATATTGCGTTCTCGAACCTGGGCCTAACACGCCGAACTTGTCGTCTTGATCACTAGCAGCCGACTGAGAGCGCCATATTGTAAATTTTCCGTTTTTCACATGGAGTATTACACCACTTCACGTAAAACGTGCAAAACTCCAATATATAATAAAAGC